TGTCTCTCCCTCCTTCTTCCTGTTTCCCCAATTCTCCTCTCTCTTTGTCCCGCCTATACTTCCTGCCTGGTCACTGGCCATCAGTGTTTTATTTACATAGAGTAATATCCACAGCATAGGTTAGCAGAAGCCAGAGGCCTCGAGCCAGACCAATGATCCATTGCAAAGAACACTTGCAAGTAAAGATGTATGGACTACTATATGACTCACTGGGCCACATTACGGCTACCACCCCAAAATTTTCTTTTTTTTTCTTTTTTGTTTTGTTTTGAGGCTATATTTTTAAATTTTGTTTTGTTTGGGGGGGTCAGAGGGTGGAGACAAGGGGATGGTGAAATGGGTGGTATTGAGATGCATGATGTGAAACCCACAAAGAATAAAAAGTTTAAAAAATTAGTGTATTGCCAGGAAATTAGGAGATAACTCCAAAGCTGATTATAATCTCTATTGACTAGCTAACAACATCTTAAAAAGGTTTAGGAATAAATTATGACTTGAAGACAAGATTTCACTTCCAAGAGAGGAGAAAAGGATGTTGTAGCAATAGAAAAAAAAAACTTGAATCATGATATCTTCAAATGTCCCAAAGGTTAGGCCAAAAAAGGGCTTGTTGTTTTTGTTTTTTCTTTTCTTTTTTTAGTTTTACCCTGGTGATATGTTTTTGCCATAGTCATAAGGCTTTCTTTTAAAGGGAACAACAAACAGGCTTAGAGAGAACTTGTGATGAGCAGATAGATGATGAAAAGTTTTACCTGGGGCCTGCCTATTCTAAGAAGGGACCATTAGGGCTATCTGCTGGCTTTAGAGTGAGCAGGGCAAAGTTCAAGAGTCTGGAAAAGAAAAGAAGCTACCTCAAAAAAATATGTTTGTGTTAATCAGAGAGAACAAGCAGTTCAGCTAATCATTTATGAGACACAAAAAACCGGAATTTAAAAGGCTTTGTGTCTGGCTTTCTCATGTGTAACCAAGGAAAACTTTCCTTGACTCTAAGTTGCATGGGGAAGGAAATTGCTTTTTGAGAAGCCGTTTTTTGGAACTCACAGGGTGGGCTTTTTTAAACCTTCAGTATTTCCAGGATAATGACTTAGATAAAACTCAACATTGGAGCGACTCCTCCATAACATTTTATTGTTGACGAAATAATTTGAGATGAAGCTATTTCTCTACTAGTGAGAAGGAGAGAAATAGAAGTCTCACCAGTGGAGTATTCAGTATCCCAGAGGTGAGTGGGAGTTCTTTATATGGCATTGGCTAAATGGTAGGTTCTGGGACACCTAATGTGCTGGTGCTCTGACAGGTCCTAAGTAAAATGAACCTAATTGATTTGGGACTCTCTAGCAGCATTATGCACCCTGGGCAACTATCTACTCAAACCTGGGGATGTAGCTTCAGTTTAATTTGCTCTACCATGACTTCTAGCCTCAGTCCTGTATAAATAAACACATGAGGGGTGGGGAGATTGGCATGTCTGCAAATATCATGAGCAGCGACCCTTTTTATTAAAACATTCCAGAGATGCCTATTCTGTTTGTGTATTTTTGTTTCGGGGTTTTTGAGACAAGGTTTCACACTGTAAACCACACTGGCCTAGAACTGTGAAGCTTAAGCTGGCATTGAAAACATTATATAGTTTGGGATGACTTGAAACTCTTCATCTTCCTGTTTCCATCTCCCAGATGCTGGAACAACAGGCATGAACCAGTTAATTCTTTTTTTAAAAAATCTCAAATAAAGCAAAACAAATTTATTCTGCTACCAAAGGCCTGAAATATACACTTTGTTGTATGTTTCCTGTGTCCTACCCATGGCCTTCTTTGGAGTAGCAATTTGGTTCTCCTGGCAAACATTTGAGTCTTTCCACTGTGGGAGAAGCCTTCCTTAGGAAAGGTTGGAAACTATTTAAAGTACTAGGTGGGTAATTTGTGGTTAGGAAATCTATAGACTGAAGTGAATACAAACTTGGAAGGAAGGAAAGAAGAAAGTGAGGGAGGGTGTTAGGATTCTGCCGCCACTCCAGCGGCATGACTGCACATGTGTAGTTCAGCAGCTAAGCAAGGGGTCTTATGTCTTGCATCATCAATGCGGTGCGCAACGTGGTCACACAATCAGTGCATGTGTGTGGCGTAGCTCCATAATGTGCACTGGGAATCCTTAAAAAGCTGGACACAGACTCCTCC